GGAGTGCCATAAATATACATATTGATTATATTATGACAAGGAGATGGATTAATTAAATCTATAATTGCGTATATTGTTATTTATCCGCTTGTTACGTTTAAATAATGAATAAGTAATTTATATTGAACTTTTTTTATCATTCCACTTGACTTGACATTCAGCCTTTTATTGCATTTATATGAATTTGTATAAATGCTTTTATCCGGACCATTTTATAGCATATTTTGTATGTGTAAGTAAAATGCCAGATGCGTCTTCCATTTTCCTCTCGTTGACACAAATCACAGTTTCAGAAACATTCCTTGTTATCGGATGATAACGTTAGCCAAGCTATGGAAATTATAAAAGCGCGAATTGCCTGCACTTCCGCATACTTCCGCTCACAGCCACTACGAATTATACTCTTGAGGGAACTCGAAAGAGGGATACCACGGATATATCAAGAGGGGACGAGAAGACTCTAGAGCTTTATACATTCTGTCGCTCGACCCTTATTAAAGTAGTTAAGGGTAGGCAATACTAGGACGCGAATACCAGTAGGAGGCGTTATTCCTGGCTTGGGAATGCTTAATTACTCCTATTATTTGTGTCGATACACTTCACTTTCTTCTTAATGATGTAATATCTTGTAAGAGCATTTCATTATTATCTATTAATTCTATTTTTTACCTCTGAATATGGAAAATGGATGTATTTCCATTGTAATTATTGAAAATTTTTAATCATCAATCATGTATAATTGCATTTAAAATTTTTTTTAGTTTCTTTATCTTTTTCTTACTTTTGTTTCAATATCAAATTGTGTCTGCATTGTGCGTCATTGTTATTTTCATTTATTTCAAATTTGGATTTTTTTCGATGGTTAACAAAAAAAAAAAAAAAAAAAAAAAAAAAAAAAAAAAATACATACGTTATTTATTATTTTGCGCCATTTCTCGAATATTTTTCTAAACATAAATATTCACGACATTGGGATGTTGTTATAAGCATTTCTTAGTGAAAAAAAAATATTATTTTCTATTAAATTCTTGATTGAACTTAAATAAAAGTAGCTTTACAAACGTATTGAATTTTAATTACATTTCATAATGTTGGAATAAAGCCACAATTTAATTTAATATCCTGTGTGATCGAATTCGTCTCTCGTTCCCGTACATCTCAAAGCAATAATATTATTGAGAAATATAATGAAACAATTATAAAATGAATGACTTAATTAATCCTTACGATAAGAATCAGATGAAAATTATTCAGGATAGTTAATGGGGATCGAAGGGTAACGATAATCCTTGCGAGTATTATCTTCGATCTTTATAAATTCCTTTATTTATCGTCTTTGCTGTCATGTTCGTGTTTTATTCGGTAAGATGTATCTGTGACTGTTTTGTTTAAGATTTACGCGATTCGGTGAGTTTTTCACTGATATATGTGACATACTAGCAACCGCTGGCTTGTCAATAAAATTAGCATATAAATATTTTATTCGTAAAATTTTTTTTTGAAAATAATTCAAATGGAAATGTTGTTGTCCTCCGATATTTTCTTCAAGCGCAGAAATGAATACGCGTAAGAATTAATTACTATAAGAATTATATATTCCTATTGTCTTCTATACTTGAAAATAATTGTATTTGTTCATCCAGCATGAACATAAATCTTTTGGTTTAATCGTGCGCAAGATTAAAAAAAAAAAAAAATGAAAAAAAAACAAGAAAATAAAAAAACAAAAACAAAAAACAGAAAAAAAGAAGAAAAAAAAAAAAAAAGAAATGAAAAGAAAAGAAAATCTTTAGCCATTATAAATATAAGAATTAGCCTTCCACCATATTGATGTACTGACCACACGATAACTTATTTTCATTATATCGAGTTGCATTTGTGTAAACGGTTTCACTCGCTTTCCTTGTATTGCCTTTATAAATCTTTTTTATTCCAATAACCGAGTATATGTGCACTTTTTTTATCCGCAAATTTTGCCCATGAAATGCTTTCATTTTATGCCATCGCACAATTGCATAGCGGCTCAGTGCATATAAGTTTAAATCATGTTGTGTTATGCTTCAGTGAATAAAAAAAGAAAAAAAAAAAAAAAAAAAAAGAATGCAGTGCTTTTTCATTTGCATGGTGCTACGGTAACGATTTTTATTTTTCATCTTCCTATACATACTGTAAAAAATGAAGTAGATTAGAGAAGGAGAAATGGAATAGAATGTAAAGTGGATAAGAAGAGGAGGAGAAAAAAAAATGGAGCGAGCGAGAGGAAGAGTAAGAACGAGGAAGGATAGTGAGGGTATTGAGTGCGGGACAGCAGAGAGCCGGTAAAAAGAGCTTAAATAGCGGCAAATATTGGCGGAAGTTGAAGTACCGATTGGAAAGAAATCAATTGGAAATGAAAATACCAATGTGGTTGAGCCAATAAATATAGAAGCATCAGTTTAATCATTTTAGTGTACAATAAGTAGAGTGCGTGCCCGTGCAGCGGCACACCTACTACACACACGTATCAATCTGCAAATATATTCGCCCACATTGGTACATTGCGTAGCTCGTAAAGTTCATAGGGAGTCTGTACTTTTCATTATTCATCAGCGCTAATTACTATAATTAAATGTACATGCGTTTTGCACTTAGTACTCTACGAGATTGTACACATACACGTGTATCCGCTTAATTTGCCAAATGAAGCTGAAGTTAGTGAAAAAATGATTTTTTGCCAGATCTTTCCGGCTCGTATCATTTGTACGATTCATTAATTTTCAAAGATTTTGTAACGCATACTATTTTGTAAAATAATATTCAATCGATGATCTACTTGTGATATTCTCAACAGTCATCGACATCTGTATTATATATAATATTTGACTGATGAATTATTAAGTTCATAAGCATTTATTAAATAAATACTTCATCAAGATGAGTCTAAAATTTTGAAAATAAATTCAATTTATTTAGCTTCCTTATCATTTAACGAAGCTATTTATTATAAATCATCCAAAAAAAAAAAAAAAAAAAAAATTCACGCGATTGATCATTACACGAGAATATTTGTTATTAATGTTCGGAAAAATTAAAGAGAAAAAAATGTTTCATACAATTTGAACGAAAATATTAAAATATAATTGAAAATGTAGTTTTGCTTATTTAAAAGTTCAACTATATAAATGGCAATTATACGTACATTTTTCATTTATCGATCGAGTTTTAGTATTTACCGTTTATGCTCTTTAATCATTTAATTAATTCATTGTCTCCTACAGTGCAGCTGAGCGTCGATATTTTTGAAAATGGTCGCCCGCCCCAATCGCCTAAATGATCGAATACTTTTTGCAGTTTGCAAAATACATGCCGCTCCAACTACCAACCAATCAATTGCAACGAATTCGTCAGTCAAACTCGTCACAATTAGTCTTTCTTGCATGCAACACAATGGCAACTAATTGAAAGCCTCAAGCGAGCATAGAGCATGATGCACGATGTGCCATATATGCGCAATGACATTCGCAAAATCTGAACATCACCTACTGTATATTCTTGTATGAATGTGCACATATGCATTTGCATATAATAGACTTAGTGGTGTGGCACGTGGAATGAAACGCGCACTGATTGGCAACAAACCAAGTCCCAGTCAAGGCATTGCTTAATTGACTTTTCCTTTTTTACATGCAAGGAGCCGATGATCTTGCAATAAGGTCGAATCTCCAAACCAACAAAGTTGTTAAATTCTATAATGCAATTGATGTATGAATTATACGAGTGAAGCGGACAGTACGCAATTGTGTACAAAAGCTTGACTGCTAGGAATTCAGAAAGCCTGGAATAAAGCTCATATTCTGAATTATTAATGCATTTTCAAAACTAAATCAAATATTGAATTATGAATTAGTTTAGATAAAATTTGTGAATACTTTGCGGGTAATTATATTCTCTACATACGTATTATGGTTTTCTATGACGAAAGGCATTAATTATTTTATTAATTAAAATTCAACGCTACTAGCGTATATTTTTTATTTAATCTACATATGCTTTTTATTTAATTATTTTTTTTTTCTTTTCTTTTTTTTTTTCTTTTCTATTCTAACAAGAAATTTTTCATTCTATTAAATGTCTAATACGATTTTTATTCTAATATTTTTCTTTCACATCAGCAGTTATGCGCGCGAGTAAATAACTTTTAATATTTTACACATAATATTCTCGTGTCTATTCTCATTCTATGAATTTTTCCAATTATTATTTATTATTTAATTGAAGACGTTATCGTATTAAAAGATAATCTTTAATATTCGTTAAATTTAATTTCTCACTTAATTTCTGAATTGTACTTATTATTAACAATTTTCTCACAAAATTCTGTATTTCATTAAATTGTTCGAATTAAATTGTCAAAGTGCTCTAATAGGATTATAATTATTATTTAAAGTTATTTTACAAGAGCATATTATAAAATTATAATCAACGAAAAGAAAAAAATATTTTAAATATAATATTATCGATTTTAAGGGTTAGATAGATAAATTTAAAGATAATTTCGCTAACATTTTTCTTTAAGATTTAATAATCAGATAGTATAGAACATGGGAATATAATTATTTCATGAATACTACCGAGCCTCCTCTCTATCAAATATAATCAATAATAATGTTTTTCTATTATGTGAACATAAATTTTTGTTAATAATTAAACATTTGAATTAAGTCTTGTACTCATAATGATAAACTGATTCTGATTTTACGTCTAGGTTACATATGTATATGTGTATATATATATATATATATATATACGTGTGTGTGTGTGCGTGTGTGTGTGCGCGTGTGTGTGCGTATGTGGGTGTGTGGAAATAGTAGTTTAATATATTGATCATATTATTACTTTATTGGCATCGGCTTTTAAAATTGACGTTTTAACGCAAATTAATATTTTATAAAATTGCATCTGTTTAATCTCTCATTTCAAGAGTTTCAATTTATATGTCAAAATTTAATGAATATACATACTGGCAGAGATTCCGGTGTATGGTCCAAAACATATATGCTGTTGGTGTATCCATAAAGCATCGTATCGAGTTCTGTAAAAAGTTGACAATTAAATGAAATTTAAAAGCTGTGCGAGGTCTTAAATACAAATGTTTCATTATATTTATTTACGTACTAATATGTTTCTTTGTTCGTTTTATAAACTAGCAAATGAGAAAATAAGTGAAAAAATGATTATATATTAATACATTTCCTTCAGAACCTGAATATAAAGTTACGATTGGATTACAGATTTTCAGTTACTAACGATCCAAATAATACATGTTAATATTTTTTCTCATAATACAATTAATAATATTATTATAATATAATATTTTATTATATATTCATAATGCACAACTGCAATACTATAATAACTATATTATTTATTATGTTTCATTTGACGTGATTATGTTGTTATAATATTCATCTATAAATGTATCTATAACAATACAAATACGAATATTAAGGTAATATTAACTAATATTATATTAAATGAAATTATTACTAGCCAATACCGACTTGTCATTAGATTTGAGCACTCGTTTATTAACCGAGTTGCTCCAATTTTCGATTCTTCAATGTATTCACTATTGAAGAGAATTTTGCAATAATCTCAAATATCTGATATTTATTAACTTACGGCTATCATATCTGCGCATCCAATTAATTTCATTTAAACGCTAGAACAAATAAGCCAATTTCATCAGCAAACAGCAATGCTGTACAATAATAATATTATTTTCACTCGTAATAATATCTGAATTCGAAAATCTTATAAGTTTTAGTTAATTTATTGTTTCTTAAATTATAAGCAAAATTTCTGATATTTTTCCCTCAAACGAATAGTAGCTTTAATATAAATTAAATATATATGAAAATCTGATAGGAAATTAGGTAATCATTACATTATATATAAAGCCTATGGTATGTAAATATATGTACATAAATTTTTAATTTGACGAAATTTTTTAAGTATAATTTTATGATGTGCATAATGTATAAATTTCTTTTAATTTAATATCGCATATTGATAAATGCATACGCTTACATGTATGCCATTAAAAGAAGAGAGAGAGAGAGAGAGGTCGCATGTAATTTTACAGTTCTAAATTGCATTAACATTTAAATCGTACGGATATACTTGTGTGCTCAAACAACTTCAAATGAATTGAAAATAATGTGAATAACGTAGAAGTCAATATAATAATTTACAACAACTCCCATCGGATATAATTGGGACCATTAAAAGTAATTCTCGTTGATCGATGATGTCTTGAGAGCTTAACGTTAGAGGAATCTTCGTAACGAGAAGTCTATCTGTCAATAAAATACGTGCAAACTCGCAAGCACGTATGTGCAACTCGTAAACAAGTTTCTCCTTTAGTTTGTTATAAAGTATCAAACGTCGTACTATAACTCGAATTCCTATCTATTTCCTTCTTTCAGACATTGATTAATAAAGTGGTGCTGACATTTCATCTTGCTGAAAAGTTCCCATAGGATCTTGTATAATTTCCGCACTAGCGTAAGAAGGTTCAATAATTGATATTGCTTGTCTTATTCGACATAATATTCAAAATAAAAAATTCTGATCTACATACAAGTATTATAATGTTCTCCTATGGTTTATTTACTAGTTTAACGAATACATTGTATTTAAGGCACTGCGTACACGGCTTACAATCAATTTTCTAGACATTAATTTATACGCCTTAAAATAAATTGCAATCTATATTTATGAAAGTAGGTCTATTGTTCGAATTTGAAAAAAAATATCTTCTCCAATTTAATATCAATAGTGCTTAATTAGGCTTTGCAATAAATTATTTAATTTGGCTTAAATACGTATTTAAGTTATTTAATTATTACGCTAATTTGTTTATCATAATGATATTAATCGATATTAATAAATATTTAAGTCCAATAACAAAATTAAAGTGGATTTACAAATTTTATATGCAAAATAGTATTTGACATTTACAGAAATATCAGTCACAATTGCTAGTTAACAAATGTTGTCATTCTCCAATTAATGATGAACATAGTAATATAATTTCTCATTACCATTGAAAAGCATTATTGTTCATTTGTGTTTAAAATGTTCATTAAAAGTTTAATTGCGTATAAGATTGCCCCGATATTGATAGAATTTTTTTTTTGATAAATCATCATTAATAACGAACGTATTTTGTTGGGAAAATGTTGAGGATGCTTTAACTGGTTTACTATTTTTTATAAAGTATCTTGTAATTAATATTATTTTGAAGATGTTCAATTAAAAATTAATCAAAAAATTCTTCCTATTTTTTGATTTTTTGATTTTTTGATTTTTTGATTTTTTCGATTAACAAATACGGCCATATCATGAATATTATTATATAACTATATATAATCGTGATAACTTAGTTTACAAATTCATAAACAATAAATATGATTTTAAACTAATCAAATTGCAAAATATGACTTTTAATATTCATACTTTATGTTTAAAATATAAAGGTTGATATAAATGGAAATTAGAATGAAAAGCTCTTCTTCTATATTTCATGGATTCATCGTAGAAAATATTCCTAATTTTTTTTTGTAACTATTCATATTTTACGTATGCGTGCCTTTAATAAAATTTTTTCAATTTTAAATACTTTTTTTTTCCTGTTTGAAGTTTCATACAATCCCCTTGCAAATTATATTAAATATCTACGAGAATTGTATTTAAATGTAATTAATATTCTTTTGGAGAAAGCAAAAATATAAATGACAATATAGTCATTTAAAAAATGCAAAACAAAGAGTTCAATTGGTAAAGTACATTACTGCCATTTGTAGGAAATAAAGTAAAAATTAAAAAAAAGTAAAGTGTCTGCAATTGAAAGAACAGACTCGATTTATTTTTCTAATGCTCAAAGATTTATACGCCAAGTGCAAAAGAATTGGCTGAGCCGTAAATTATCTTGACTGGCATGATTGTTAATTATATTCCCATTCAGATATATTTATACAGATAATATGTCTGAATTTTTATGGGATAAAAAGTTTATATATAAAAGAAAAGTAAATTTAATAAAGCTTAGTGACATAGTATATATATATATATATATATATATATTATGCCACTAAGCTTTATTAAATTTACTTTTCTTTTATATATAAACTTTTTATGTATGTACCTTCATTTCAGTACATGTTTAATATTACAATTTTCCCGAATCATGATTTGTAAAATATCATTAGGAGAATTCTATTTATATTTATTCCATTTATATATTTATTCCATTTATATTGAAATAGACTCATTCGAATAGGTAATAATCAGATATTGGCCATTGAAAAGCAGCATAATCCGATAGAAAATTAAATTCCCGGTAAAATATATGAAGGGAAAGTAAATGTAAAAAACACGTTTTCAGTTTTTATGCCTCGAAAAGGTAATAAAATATCGAGAAGTGCCAGCTTCAAAAGAACCAGTTTGTAGCTATCAAAAACATGTTACGGTAAAAAAGAAAATTAATAAGAAATGCGAAATTACAATTTTCAATGACAAAAGTGTGGTATTGCTTAATAGTAATAATGAAAATTGCATTGAACATAAAATTTTCGATAAATACATTTAATTATAATTGAAATTATTAAAATCTATTTAGCCAATCACAATGGGAGGATTCCATTATCGTCCGATTGTAAAAATAAAAAAGTTCGAACGATAATGGACTGCTTTTATCGGGGAAGGATTCATCTATTTTTATTTCAATTGTTCGGCATTTATAATACTTTTGTCCTTAAATCATTTATTATGATTATTATTATGTTTAATATAGCACAATCTTAAATTGCTTATTTATAATATGAAATCTTTTGAAAGATATTCTAGTATAAGATAAATTATCCACTTATCAGTTAAGAGCTATAAATATATTATGAAATTATGCCATTTTGTGTATAATGTTAAATAGAAATACTTAAGAGAGTGATAATTTTATTTGCTGACGATATTTGCAAATGCGACATAGAAATATAGTCCGATCGAAGTATAAAATAGAAAATGTTGTAAGAGAATAAAAGATGGACATATTATGGGAAAATCTTATGCATTATGATAGGCGATTAGACTCTGTACTTGGCTGAAAATAGCTGAAAAGGCTCATTCTCCTTTCTCGACGGAAAGCAGCTGGGCAGAAGGAAATGGCTGATTGCAGAAGACTAGGGAAGGATGGGAAATAAATTATGTCATCGCAAAGTTTAATTTCTTGCGGTTTTTACAAGCTATAGATACACACGGCACTGCGCATTAATTGTATGCTGCGGTCGTACAACGCGGTAACATACGTTTCACTCTAGCGGTACTCATATATCAGAGAGGGAGAGAGAGAGAGAGAGAGAGAGAGAGAGAGAGAGAGAGAGAGAGAGAAATTTTATGTCGTTCTCGTGCACTGTCGTACGCTACGTCGGGGCGAGAGGGGTGAAAATTCATGAAAGGAATACGAAAAACTTCAAAATTGAGATAGAGACGGAAGACCGTGCCGAGCAGACGCCAAGTGACGCAAAGATGGAGTGAGCGAGTAGGCGAGACGATGATCGTCAGGCGGAATACGTGATAAGAGCTTTGACGCGCTGGAGGAAAGGAAATTAGATGTACCCAGACGGAAATAGAGGACTAAACGGACGGATACTTGGATGGCGAGGGAGGGGCAATCCTTGTGGATTGGTGATTCGACGAGATCCTTTGGAGGGAGAGGCGCGCAGGCGAATATTCTATAGTCCAAACAAACACAAATAAGACGCATTGAGCGCTACTGGATTAATAATTATTATTGGTCGACCGAGTACTGATACGACAAATACATGGCAGTTGCTTTATTATATTAAATTTAACTGTGAAATAGAATTGCAGTAGTAATCTCACGTTGCTTTCACTTAATTTATTTAAATGGCGAAGTAAAATTGAAATTCTTTAAAGCATTTTCAATCAATGGGTTAAATGTAGAATATTTTGATTTGCAAACATATCGTTTCCCGAGCAAATATATTGCGTATCTGTAAATTTTTTTGTCCA